GATCTGAAACATAATACAGGGTACAAAACACAATCGAATCTTCCCATAGTAGAAAAACAGCATGTCAAGGATTTGGGAGTAATGATGTTTGACGATCTAATGTTTAGGGAGCATAACCAAGCAAATATCGCATCAGCCAGAAAAATGATCAGATGGATTACGAGAACTTTCAAATCCAGGGATCCCATCACAATGGTTGTACTCTTCAAGTCACTTGTGTTGTCCCGCCTCGAGTACTGCTCAGTACTCACTTCCCCCTTCAGAGCAGGAGAGATTGCTGAAATAGAGGGAATACAGAGAACATATACGGCACGTATAGACGAGATAAAACACCTAAATTATTGGGATCGTCTCAAAGCTCTCCAAATGTACTCTCTAGAAAGGAGACAAGAGAGATACCAAATAATATACACATGGAAAATACTGGAGGGCCAGGTCCCAAATCTACACAGTAAAATAACAACGTATTGGAGTGAACGATATGGAAGAAAATGCAAGATTGAACCAGTGAAGAGCAGAGGTGCCATAGGCACAATCAAAGAACACTGTATAAACATCAGAGGTCCGCGGTTGTTCAACGTCCTCCCAGCGACTATAAGAAATATTACCATAACAACCATGGACATCTTCAAGAGAAAACTGGACTGTTTTCTAAGAGAAGTTCCGGATCAGCCGGGCTGTGGTGGGTATGTGGGCCTGCGGGCCGCTCCAAGCAACAGCCTGGTGGACCAAACTCTCACAAGTCGAGCCTGTCCCCGGGCCGGGCTTGGGGAGTAGAAGAACTCCCAGAACCCCATCAAGCAGGTACGTCTGCTAGGGGTTTGGTTTTGGCCCACCTCGACGACTGGCTGGTGTGGGCTCCCAGTCGGTCCGCATATATGCTCACCAGAGATGTGGTTCGTTCCCAACTCACCGGGTTTGGGTTCCTGGTGAAATGGAGGAAGTACCATCTGGTTCCGTCCCAGATTCGAACCTGGTTGGGTCTTGTTTGGGACTCTCGGACCGCTTCCATGTTTCTCCTTCTAGAGGCATTGCTGCAGCTGCGGTCCCACCCTCAGCTGTTTTTGCTCAACACAACTGCTCGAGCAGTTTTGCAGGAGTTTGAATTTTTCCGTGCTGGTCTACCCACTGGGTCAGGTTTGGCTTCGGCGTCTGTTGTGGTTCCTTCAGGGATGCCCCTTCCGCTTCTCTTGCGATCGCTGGATTCGGCCTCCGGGGACCTTGTGACGGTTACTGTGTCGCTGACATCCACTTCTGGGTTTTCAGGGTTCAGTGCCTTGATGCCTGCCCGAACCCTTGCTCAATGTGTTCACTGATGAGTTGTCTCTCGACTGGCTTTGTGACCAGTGCTCACCAAGCTGACCAGGGGCGATGAAGTGCATCCTTATGTTGGGCTCACATGACAGTGCAGGAGTTCCCGCCAGTTTGACTTTCGCTTCGGAGGTATCGGGTTGTTTGGGATTCCACCATCCGACTCCATTTGGACTGTTCTCCGGTGGTTCATTGCCTGAACTGAGGGGGTTCTCTTTAATCCTTGCCTCTTTGGGGCTGATTGTTTCGAGAGGCTCGTCTGTTGGCTTCTCGGGGTTTGGCTCTCCATGTGCTTCATATCCAGGGAGAGAGTGTCCAATGTCCTGGTGGACGGCCTATCTCGGTTCATTTCCCTGTCCACGAAATGGACGGTCGATGCCGGTGTCTACGCAGCCCTCCCCCCCCCCCCTCCCTGTCCAGGAGGGGGAAGGGGGAGCCTCAGACCCTCGTGCCAGCGATCCACCCATCAGTTCTTCGACTGATGTGATAGTGGCATGGTCTTGTGGCTCCAGCTCTGGTTCTTTCTGTTGTGCTGTACATTGTGTCCAGTACTACTCTTACGGTGGCATGCAAGCTGGGAGTATTATTCCAAGGTACTCGGGCTGCATGTGCTTAGGGTTATCTTCCCTGAGCGCCCTGTAAGTACTGCCCTAGGGGCTTGGGTTATCTTCCACAAGTCGCATTGACCTCCCCGAGTGTGTTGGGGGTTTTCCTCTCTTGTTACCTTGGGGTTAGAGGTGTTTTTGCCCTAGTAGGGGCACAGGGTACTGTGCAGCTAGTTTTCACCTATAACAGCAGCCGGCTCTGTTCCTCCTGGGTATGTTGTTCTCTTGTTTTTTGTTTTTTTATTTTGCTTTTGTCTGGTGGGGGAGTCTGCCTTTGTGTTCCTTTCCCCCTGTTATTTTAGGGTCTTGCTCCCTGTTGTTCGGCGGTACCCCCTGCTTGGCCCACTGTGAGTGGACACGTGCCGGGAGATCAGTTTTAGCAGTGTGTTTGGTTGTCTTGGGTGCCGGTTAGCAGTACCCGGCCTCGGCTTATCTTTAGCGATACCAGTCTAGGGGCCTTGGGAATTCCTGCGGGGGTGCACGAGGTCCAATGGATACGACCCTGGGGTCCCCTCTCGCTTTGTGCGAGTTTGAGGGTTGCTCTGTCCCCTCGTCTCAGGGCGACGCTCATTGTTTCTGCCTCCGTCATGCTGCCTGTTGGGTCAGTGACACCTTCGACCCAGAGTTCTGAGTTTTTTTTACTTTATATGCATATATTCCTTTAGAGAATTCTATTGCAAACAGTTTCATACCAAAATGAAAGACGTAGCACGAAAATTGAGGTGAGAAAGCTAAAGAGAGTATGCACATTTTAGTGCTCTTGTGCGCTCACGAGTAACGCTTGGCCAATTTTTGGGTTTGCTGCGGGTTGTATGCCGGGCATTTTTACTTTATATGTATATATATCTCTTCAGGGAAGTTTATTGCAAACAATTTCATACCAAAATGAAAGGAGTAGCACGAAAATTGAGGTGAGAAACCTAAAGAGAATATACTCATTTTAGTGCAATTGTGCTCTTACAGGAAATGCTAGGCTGACCTTGGGGTGGGCTGGGGCACGCGCGCCGAGCCAGGCAAAGTGTTAACCTCCTCTATTTGAGTTGTCAATGAAGTTTCCAGTTGCAAATCCTTACCTAACTCTATGTTAGCCCTCAGGATTCCTTGGAGTTGTTCACCATATGAGTATTTTCTTGTTTATTTCTTCAAGTCACCACTCTTCACTTTCCATACCTCATTTTCTGTCACTAGTTCCTTGATTTGTTTCTCCTGATTTGTTACCTTGTCCGTTAGTGCAGTAATAATCTTACCTTGCTGAAAAATACTTCCTTTTAGAGTGCAAAGTTCACTCCTGAGAGCTTCATTGACCTCTTCCAATTTAAGCAGTTTTTCTTTATACTGCTTTTGCATATCCTTAATTATCTCTAATTTGCCAAGAAAACCTCCCTTCCTTATATCTTGCGGTGAGAATCCTTGGAAACAATCACCTGTTGGTGTGTTTACATTCTCCATGGTGGCAGTGGCCATGTTTGTTATTGGCATTAGTTTGTTATAGAAAAGAAACTTTTCCAACTCAGCAATTTTCACTCACTTTCACTTTATTGTATCTTACTTGCTTTTAAACTTCCTTTAACCTTTATGTAACCTGGGAACCTGGGACACCACTTTAGCCCTCAACCTGTACCCAATACTTAGGTAATTCTATATTCCAGGAGCTTGCTGCAGTATGACTCCTGCCTCCTTCAGCTTCAGCCTCCAGTGGTTTCCTTATTAGTTCTTTCCGTTTTTTGTTTCCCTGTTCTAAGGCTCGCATTTCCCAGGTTGTCCTCTGTGTCATTGAAATCTAATCAGCCTGTGGTCTACCCTTGGGTTCATAATGTTTATAAATATAAAGCTTTGGTCTCCAGGTAACATATCCTGGGCTGATATTCAAGCTCGGGGTTTTTGGAATTCTAACAGGGGTACTGGCAGCCTGGTGTTTGGTTAGTGTTCTTGGGCCCAGTCGGTCATGTGTGGCTTTAGGCTGTGTCACCTGGCCTGGTTTCTCTTTGTCTTAAGTGCTTGCTGCCTCTCCCATCTCCTGGTAAGTCCATTTCTTGTTCTCTGTCGTTAGATTAACTTCAGGGAGTCACAAGGGGGTCCTTCCAGAAACCCAGCATTGAATGTAATGAAATGCCAATTTCTGGAGGAATTCTGGTGGGGCCCTGCCTACACCCTCTCCATCCAGTTTTGTCAGTTTGTTGTGGGTTTATTTATCAGAACGAACTTGAGGAGCCAGCAGGGAGCCAGGGCTGAGTTGCTTGGTGATGGTAATCCATACTAAACAGTTTCAAGCTCGTTTGAATGAATCCCTTGTTCCATGTGACTTGTTTGTGATAGTTGTTTGGTAATTTTTGAGGGTTGCTTTTCTATGAATTCTCGAGTTGTGTGTAAAACTGCACTGACTTTCTGGAGTCTTTCTGGTGAAATGGTGGATTATCACCTGCTTTCTGTGCTTCTGTGAGGGAAGCCTGGTTCTGACTCTGGTGCCTTGTAGGCCAAACAGAGCTATCCACAACTGATGTGATCTTTTAGTAAGATGCAACCTCAGAAAGATAACTTCAGGGAGGCAACTGGGCTCCTCCAGAAATTGGCATTTCATTATATTCTACGTTGGGTTTTTGTCGTGGTTGTTTCTTGTCTGGCATCTAATACCAGATATTGTCACCTCTTATCATTCGGTATTTTCCTGGCATGGGTAGCAGAATTTCACTCGCTTTCTGTGCCTTTATGAGGAGGCCAGGTTCTCACTCTAGTCTCTGGTAGGCCAAACAAAACTCTGCAACTAATAGGACCGAGCAGATTGAAGCAATCTCAGTGAGATAGTTATGGGGAGCCACTGGAAATCAACCAAAAAGCAGTTTCATTACATTCAATGCTAGGTTTTTATTATAATTAATACTAATTCAAATGAAGATATTCTTGCATGAAACACTACACATGCTTGTGGCTTTGCAAGAATGTAGCAATTGCATTCGCGACAAGATAGCTTCAAGGAGCCACAAGAGGCTCCCCCAGAAAACAGATGCATCTGAGTAAGTAATAACTTTAAATAAAAGTAACATTTTTAGTAACTGTATGTTCTAACTTATGCTTTTGATCCCTCAGGTGAAAGAAATTCTAGCTGGGGACAAGCAGTTGGCAAAGGAAATTGAATTTGATTTGCGTCGGCTTGATCAAGAACAACGAGAAGAAGAGGAGGAAGAAGGAAATGAAAAAGAATTAGCAGGAGGTGATGAGGAAGGTGACAACGATCTCATGCAAACTGACAGCCAAGAGAGTGCTGCAAATGGTTGTCAGGGATCAATGGGTTCCTCCCCTAACAGTGAAGAACAAATTGATGACCCTAAGAGTGCTGCAAATGGTTGTCAGGGATCAATGGGTTCCTCCCCTAACAGTGAAGAGCAAATTGATGACCCTAAGAGTGCTGCAAATGGTTGTCAGGGATCAATGGGTTCCTCCCCTAACAGTGAAGAACAAATTGATGACCCTAAGAGTGCTGCAAATGGTTGTCAGGGATCAATGGGTTCCTCCCCTAACAGTGAAGAGCAAATTGATGACCCTAAGAGTGCTGTAAATGGTTGTCGGGGATCATTGGGTTCCTCCCCTAACAGTGAAGAACAAATTGATGACCCTAAGAGTGCTGTAAATGGTTGTCGGGGATCATTGGGTTCCTCCCCTAGCAGTGAAGAACAAATTGACAACCAAGAGAGTGCTGCTAAAGGTTGTCAAAGATCATTGGATTCCTCCCTTGCACTCGCAGCACAAATGTTGATCCCGAACAAGACAACATCAGCCTCTAGTTCATTGTCAGTCAGTAAAATCACACCAACTTCTAGAAAAGAGCTACATAAGCAAGTTGTACTTAAGAGCAAAGTTTTAATGGCTAAGAGGAAAAGAATTGTTATTCGTTCATGTAACTTTTGTGGTGATGGCTCACATGCATCATCAAGCATGATAGAACAACAAAGAGAAAATGTCAGTGACTTGAGCAAAAAGGGGAGTGAAAGGGTCATGTTGAAGACACCAAAGAATGACAAAAGTTACTCACGTAAAAAAGAAGAGGACAAGATAACACATTCTCCTCAAAATATCAAAAGCCGGGAGAAATGGTTGAGAGCTATTAGCACTCCACCTGCTGAGATAAGTGTTATAAGTAATATCACATTTGTGGATGAAACACAAGCCAGTGCCATTAGCCTAGATTCAACTACCTCAAACATCAATAGACAAAGAGATGTCACACACCCAAAGTTACTACTTCATCTTCAGAAGCCAGAAACTTATGCTAAAAATTTAGACATCAGCTGTATACGCAGATCCACCAGAAGTCTTCGTTCACAAATAGTGAAGAAAATTTCTGAAGCTTATGGTAAAGATTTAGACTCAAACAGCATACGCAGATCCACTAGGAGTCTCAGTTTAGAAATTGCAAAGAAAGGTCGTAAATCTTATGCAAATGATTCATTATTAACCTACATATGCCAATCCCCTAAAATAAGTCTCATCTCAGAAATGAAGAAGAAAAAAAGTACTGAAACTTATGCTAAGGATTTAGGTTTAAGCCGCACACAGCGATCCACAAGAAGAAGCCTTAGTTCAGAAACTTCAAAGACAAGTTCTAAAACTTATGCAAAAGATTCGGAATTATGCCACATATGCCGACCCATTAAAACAAGTCATTTCTCAGAAATGAAGAAGAAAAGTCCTCAAGCTTATGCTAAAGATTTAGATGTAAGCTACACTCAGCGATCCACAAGAAGAAGCTTTAGTTCAGAAACTTCAAAGACAAGTCCTAAAGCTTATACAAAAGATTCAGCATTATGCCACATATGCCGCCCCACTAAAACAAGTTTTACCTCAGAAATGAAGAAGAAAAGTCCTCAGGCTTGTGCTAAAGATTTAGATGTAAGCTACTCACAGCGATCCACAAGCAGAAGCCTCAATTCAGAAGCTTCAAAGGAAAGTCCTAAATCATTTGCAAAAGATTCAGAATTAAGTTGCATACGACGATCCACTAAAAGAAGTCTCTGTTCAGAAACTGCAAATGAGAGTGCTAAATCTCATACAAAAGATTCAGACTACAAACACATATACCACTCCATTAACAGAAGTCTCAATTCCAAAATTATAAGAAAAAGTCTTGCAGTTTTCATAAAAGATTCAAATTTGAACTGCACACACCACTTTACTAGAAGAAGTTTCAGTAAAGAAATTACAAAGACAAAGAAAAATATTGGAGTCCATGAAAAAGATTTCGATTGTAACTGCGTGTACCGCTCTACTAGAAGAAGCCTCAGCTCAGCAAAGATAAAGACTAGTAAAGATATTCCCCAGAAAGTACAGAAGTCAGAAAGTCATTTTGAATCGTATTCAAGTGTAGCAACAGGTATTGTGAGCAAGCCTGATAATTCTAGCAGCAAATCTGGAGCATCAGCCAGATATACTCATAAGAGACAAAAACCAGAAACTCGTAGTCAATGTAAACGTACAAGGGGAATGGCATCCCTCACCCCTGATCCTATCACTACCCAAGCTTACAGAGAAGCAGCAAAGTCTGATAGAAAAAGAAGTAAAAGGAGTAAATAATGAGAATGATATTTACAAAATTTTGTAAATGTTGTTATACTGAATTTTTTTTTATACTGCTTAAAATTAAATTCATGTAATATTCATGTTAATTTGTTGAGATGTTGGATAAAACCTCAGCAGTTTCTTAATACTTCAACCCGGAAGCATTCAAACCTTTGGAAACACACCAGGACCCTTTGACCAATGAGTGCCTAACAGAGACCAGGATCAGAATCTGGCCAACTCAAAGAGAAGAGGAGGAGCCTGGGAATCAGAGATCATCACAGAACTGATCAAAGGACCACCAGAAACTCAAATACTCCAAAACAAGCAACTGTATGGAGAACATTGTAACCCTGGTGAAACAATGCAAACAATAATTTCTGTAGCGAAAACACTGCCTAGAAATGTTGTCATCTCTTCACTTTCTAGTGTGCAGTTTGGTCAACACTGCCTAGATTCACAATCCCACTACCAGTGGTAGCCAAGTAAGTAAGTAATTATCAAAGAAGGCACCAAGCCAGAAGGCTATATAGCACTATCAAATGTGCAGAATAATCAGAGGGCACTAAATATCACTAAGGATGCCATTATGAGAACAGAAATGCATAAGGCGAATGACATCAAAAGTATCCAATTCACCAAGAATCGAGGGACAAGTGACCGCGGGAGGACAGTTGGAAAGCAAGACACACGCTCATCCTGGAAGTCAGGACATTCAATAAGGATATGCACAACTGTAAGAGGGACAATGCAGTTAGGACAATAAGGAGCAGGTGTGGCGCTTTATTAAGTGTCCATAAGTTAAGTGTGTATGGCCAGTACGCAAACTTGCCAGAGCCATTTCCCACCACCCATTACGGTAGCAGGAGGAAGGCCACAGGGACACACTACTTTTAAGAGTACGCAGTTTGTTACTAGTAACAGAAGACCAACAACCCTGCCAACGGGCAAGGATGGAGGAATAAATAGCTGGGTAAAAGTCGGAATAAGGAATACCTTTACCGGACATGAAACAAGAGCAGACAGCTTCCTTAGCGGCAGCGTCCACACACTCATTTAAGAGACACCAATATGGCTGAGCACCCAGCAGATCTCAACTGTTTTAAATCTACTGGAGATAAAAAAAAAAACGGCCAATGTTGAATCTCTACTTCCACCAGATGGACTGAATTAAAGGACTCCAGAGTCATGAGGGCACTGCGAGAGTCAACTACAACCACAAAGGAGCATTGACAGTGAGAAAGCAGGAGACAAAGAGCATAGTGAATAGCATAAAGTTCTGCCATGAAGATGTTAGTCTCCTGAGGCAGGCGACATATAGGTGTGGTCAGGAAAATCAACAGAGTAGCGTACACCATCTGCAGACTTAAACCCATCGGTGAAGATGGAAATGGAGCAGGAGTGTGAAGAAAAGTGTTCAGGGAAAAGGCATTTCAGAACTGTTGGAGGGGTAAAAGCTTTGGTGATATATGTCAGGAATTTACAAAATTTAGGAAGGGGGGGGACCCTCCACAGGGGCAAAGACGGAACAACACAAGGAGAAATATTAGTAATATTAACCGAAAGAGAATGTTGCAGGCGAGACACTGAACAGAAAGAGGGAGGTGGTGAAGGGGAACAGGAACTACAGGAGGGGAAAAGTCAAATCACGACACAGGCGAGAGTGAGGGTGTTGTAAGGACCGCACAAGGTAGAGAAGACAGTAGCAATCTCGGCGGTCCTGGAGAGACAGGAACCCAGTGTCAATGTACGAGGTGAGGGTAGGAGTCGAATGAAAGGCACCAGAGCTGAGGCGTAACCTAGTATGGTGCAAAGGATCAAGACGGCGAAGAGTAGAAGGAGAAGCAGAAGAGTAAGTAGGGCAACCATAATCGAGTTTAGACAGTACGAGAGTGGAATGTAAAGAGAGGAGCGCGCCTATCCGCTCCCCAAGAAGTGTGGGACAAAACCTTAAGTAGGTTAAGGGTCCTTAGAGCATTCAACTCGGAGGTAAGAGATATGGGGTGACCAAGACAAACGAGTGTTAAAGATTAACCCCAAAAGCTTATCTTTGTACACAAGGGGATGACTATAAGGTAGCTAAGGCAACCTGGGATCCTGGTCAGTCAACCAGTTCATTCAAGAGCCACTCGGAACCAACGTAACCCCCAACATCTTGAGAAAGAAGGGCATCGGATGGTGACAGTGAGTTGCAGAATGGCCCACTAGAAAGAGATTTTTCATTACATTCAACACTGGATTTTTGTGTAGTCAGAAGACACTGACCCAAATGTAGAGGCATTCAGCACAAGTGAGACACCCAAGTGCAACACAAACAGGCCTGGCTGAGGAACATTGAACAAATAATGAAAACCCAACACCAGGTTGGACCACCAGAAATCCGTAGCTTGGATATTCGCCATGGAGTATTGATAAGGAAGACTGACAGGGCGCAGACCTACTTACTGTACATCATAAGAACATGGGTAAACCTGGACCTGGAACAGAGCAGCTTTATAATAAGGAATCAAGAAAACAAGATCAACAAGCAAAGCATCCACCAATGGGAACATAGGTGGTACTCGAATAACTCCTCACTGTGGTGACAGGTTAAATAGTATGATGTACCACTGGCTGGACAAACCAAGCATCAATGGCCAACAGATACTCCAAAAGCCAGAAACAAAATAGAGGGCTAAAGATGAAGGAACCAAGAACTTCGATCTAAAGAAAAACCTCGCTTCCAGAGAAGAGCATGGAAACTCTCGGATCCAAGAGCTTGAGGGAACAAAAAGGCTGCCGTAAAGAAAGTCTTCCATAAAATGCAATACCCTAAAGTTTGGGAAACACCGAGTGCAGTCACCAAGAAGGCTTTGGAGGCGCAAGAGTCTAACAGAGGTGAAAGAATGAGTGAGGCAGCTCCAAAAAAGGAGAAAGCAACAACTTTGCCAGAAATCAACTAGAGGTACTCCATCAATGCCAAATAATAGAATGGCAACAATATTAGGCATCAAACAAAAATCTGAGAAAGCCGCAACAAAAAACACATAAGAAATAACACTGAAGAAGTAAGATTAAGATGCAAACAGCCTGCCACACAACCTTATACTGCAGCTTTGATGAAAGTTGTAAATACAACAATGGAAGTTTTACTACCTGAACCTCACACCAGTGATGACTGGCAATTCTAAAAACTTCACTCACAAAGATCAGCAGACAGGCTCGAATCAAGATACACAATGTAGCCGATACTCTGGGTGTAGTGAAGCTCATAAAATGGAACGGATGCAGACACGAAGGGTGATGGGCTAATAGATAGAGCTGCACTAGCCATCAATGAGGCAGGAGGTGGATCCACCTGCATACGTCTCTCAATTTGACAAATTTGGGAAAAAGCAGATGGACCACAGGTAAGATGGAAGGGTAATCACACCGGTTCCAGTCTTGGTGAAATGCGTCCACTGCAAATGCCTCACAATCCAAAATGGAACAGGCCCACCTAGAGACAAGCAAATGTACTTCAAAGCCAGATGATACCCATCCACCAACTACTCCATTGAAATTGGACAGAAGCAGGAGAGCTGTTCATGAGTACATTCAACACATCCCATATGTGAACCACTACCTAAAGAACTTCATCCCTAGAAGTCAAAAGTGAGGCTAACTGGAGTTTCTAGTCTCATAGGAAGGGAATGAATTGAACTCCACTAGTTAAGACAATGGACAACCAGTATACAGTCAGTGTGTGAAGATGTAAAGCAGAACCACTCGGGAGTGTGTAGTTTTCCTATAGTATTTATAATTTATTATTTATTGTTTAAATAAACTAGTTCCGCTATACAGTAGTGTTTTACTGTTCCTAATTCATGTTGCAATAGCTTAGATTTGTTGATGAAGTGATTATTTACAGACAGTGATCACCGTGAGGTGGGGAAGACTAACCAATTGGTTGTCATCAGCTCCTCCCTCATTTCTGATACACATCAAAATTTTTCCATTAACCCTTAACCACTATTATGCGCTTCGTTTATTGGGACATTTACCCTGTGCGCTGAAAATCAAGTGTTATCAAAATTTTATTTCATCTTTGTAAAATGATAAATTTCCTTCCCTGAACACGTACATGTAAAAAAAAAAACTAAAAAATTCCTCTTACTTTGGCTTTGGGGACATGGAGAAGAGGGCGTGTGACATCATCATTGGCTGTATGCCTGTGCGTGGCCCATTCAAACACCACGAGTTGCCACAAATATAATTTCATTTATTTGTTCTATGTATTTCTAATGCATTTTTATTTGTTTGTTTAATCATATATGATGCACATTTGTGTCTTTTACAATATTTATACAGTAGAATGTTGATAATGTACCATGGTGTGATACACGTGTCATTAATGTGTTCACAATAATTGTTTATTGTCGCAATATTATTTGTTCAAAATTCAATAAAATTATAATATGAACAGTTTCACACACTACACAGTAACACACTGTATTACACACTCAGTACTTTGGAAGTGAGTGATAATCAATGAAGCCGTCCATGGTACACAGCGCGGCTTTGCTCTCGATGCACCAGGTACAGATAAATTTTTGCTTCCTGTTTCTTTGTTCTGTGTGCTTGCAAATAATGCACTCACGTACACCCTAGACTTTAGTACCTGTAGGTGGTATGTAGCCAAGCTTGTGAAGTGTAAGGTAATCTTGAAATGATTATAGGAAAATATCAATTTGTAAGGTAGTCTTGAATAGATTGCTTTGTAAGGTATTCTGGAAGAGATTCAGCCATTCTGGAAGAGATTCAGTTATTCTTGAAAAGATCTATGGAAAACACCACCATGGAAGCTGCTAATGCTGTTCATCTATGCTACTTGTATCAGATGCATCATCAATGAACCCAGAAAACAGTTCATCTATGTATCATCTACTGTATATGGCGCTCGGCTACTAATGGATAAACATTCTATATCGTCCTCAATGGTGCTCTATCACTAGCATCTGACCCTTGTGTAAGGTCCTTATTGTGCCTAGCTTCATCAATAACATGACCTTTATGCTCTTCAAACAATAAGGTCTGAACTTCACCAACAGAAAGTGATCTTTCAACACCGCATCAGACAGGTGTTTGGGAGCCACAGGCGTATGCGCCACCCAGAGTTGCTCACTCGGAACTGAGCCAGCCAGCAGCCCTAGGACATTCTGGGAATTTTTCCAAGATGACTGCCTCTCACTGGAGGTCCCAAGAGTACATTTCGTACACAACCTACCGCGCGCGCGTTTTGAATGGGAACGAAATATTAAAAAGGTGTTTTCTCGGTTGGCGCAGCACAGTGGTTAACCTCTATGATGCGTCGAGTTTATTTGTGACATTTCCCGTGTGCATAAAATCAAGTGTTAGCAAATTTTTCTGAGGGGGAACCCCGTCGGCTCCCAGGAGTTATCCAGGCTGAATGGATATGTATATCTTTCTGGCATCAGTCAATGCATGGAGTTTTTGCCTACCAGGGACCACGAGCCAGAACCTGGCCCCCCTCTAGAGAGGCACGAGGAGCAATGGCCTATAGAGACCCCACTGTGGTTGGGAGCATTCTATGTCTGCCATTGACCGGGACAGACACCCAAAAAGG